GGGCTGTTTCTGGTTTGTGGTAGCATAGCAATGGTTCAGTAGTTCAGGTGTTATTTCCCAACGTTGTTCCTTTTAACTTGTATGAATATCTAATATTTGCACCTTGCAGTTCAACAGCTTACGCAATTTTGATCAAATTGCTATTTGTTATGAGGATTAATTGCCTTCATCAATGATTTGGCAGACGTATGAATTTATGGATATTGTTTTTCAAAAATTGTAATGTGGTTTTACTATTCGTTTTGAAGTTATCAGCGAAAATTTTGTAAATATAGCTGGCCGGAGCTAGGCAAAGATGTATGGGTGGGAATAAATATTAGGAAATCTGATTTCGTGCCAAGTACTAATATGAATAATTGGAGCATGAAAAGTGCAAATTTTGTTATGGTTCCTGTCTGCTGTTATTGTTGAATGAGACAGCTGAAGTTGGCATAAGGAACATTTCAATTCATAGCTGTATAAAATGTAAATTTGGTCATTGAGTTAATCATGTAACTGGAGGACCCATCTATTTGTTCCGAAGTAATAAATTCTGTTACATGTCTTAGCTATTGTATTGGATTTGTTTATCTTATAATTGACATTAATATTCCCGTTATGATAGAGACCTGTTGCTGAGATGATTCGGGCGGTGAACAAATTTAAGGCTGACTTTGGTGGACAAGTAGTTTCATTAGAGCGTGTCCAACCCTCTTCGGACCACGTTCCTCATAGGTGCTTCATTTTTTTTTTTTAGTTTGTTTATGCTTTACTACAAGTTTTCTTAATCTGTACTTACTGTGCTGTATTTGATTGTTTCTGTTATTTACATTCAATTGTATGTTACATTAGCTATGCCATCGACACTTTGGAGTTTTTTTCTTCATCCTACGGTACATGTGAAATTGTCGTGGACAGTGGTAAATATTTTTAAGACTGTGAGCCATTGCCGGAGTAGTCAAATCCTTGCATTATCCTCACCACACTGGCCTGACACCATCACTCAGACCAAATTAAACAATATAATGTTCCATAAACAACTGAGTGCAGTGGATCATCTAATCAAAATTTTCCAAAGATATTACCTCAATTATTACAGCAGAGCGGAATAGTTAGTTGACCAATTAATTGCAAGAATAGCGTGTCAGTATTCTGAAACAATAGAAGATAAAGCAAATAATTTATGTATGTCCATGCAAGGATTATGGCAGATAGCATATTGAGCACTATACTGAGTAATGTCTTCAAAGCAGATTAGGTTCCATTACAATTTGATAATCAATTTGTGGAAATAACGAAAAGAGTGCCTTCACGTAGATCAAAGCAGGTCACAACATAGAAAGTATAATAACAATCCTGCCGTTAAAGCTAAAATATGGGATTTGTTGCTTTATGAAAGTACCGATAGTTTTCAATGTCGTTTCACATAGTGAAATGGAATTTTTTCTTCCGACCTTTGATATACTTGTGAACATCATGCAAAAACGGGGTAGAATGTGTTATTTCTTTCCTAGATTCTTTGTGAATCCTGAGTAGCTTCATCCGTTTCTTGTTAGGTATCTACTAGCTGAAGCAGGAGACACTTTATTTGCATCCTTCATTGGGACCAAGCAATACAAGTAAGTATGGCATGCATACCTGTCAGCTCTTTATCTTCTCTTGGAACTTGTAGTTTAAATTATGTTTTACTTTATGTGTCCTTCTACCTGTTGTTAAGGGATGTCATGGCTGATGCAAATATATTTCAAGGTGCCATATTCCATGACAGTTCAATGGCAAATGTTAATGAAAGTGAACAAACAGAAGTAAGCAGTCAAGTGGATAATGGGGAGAATGTGTCAAGACCTATAGAAACAAACCCTAAGCAAGATAACTCTACACCCATGCCTGCTGTTCATCGGGTACAACAGTTGCCTCTAGCATTTGGTGTATGGAAGTCATATGTAGCATCCAGGACTCATAATGTCAGTCGGACATTTCTTTGCTTCTATTGTGGTTAATATTTATTAATTTTTCTTCTCCAGGGATTTATGGCTCGCGCTAAAGGGATACCAGCATTGGAGTTGTACAGACTAGCACAAAAGAAGAGACGGAAGCTTGTATTATGTGGGCATTCACTTGGTGGAGCAGTATGTTTATCCTTCATTTCCTTTTTTTATTTTCTTCCCAACTTGAATTAATTACCAGTTTTTATATATATGCCACTCAGATTTGTTCGGTGGATTCTATCTCTTTGTTCGTAACCTGCACAGGTAGCTGTCCTTGCCACCCTGGCTATCTTAAGGGTTATTGCTGTTACATCAAAAGAAGCAGAAAGGGTTCAGGTGAAGTGTATAACGTTCTCCCAGCCTCCTGTAGGAAATGCTGCACTTAGAGAGTATGTCCCGCGCTCTGTTATTTGGTGCATCTTATTGCAAATTTTCTCTCTATGAATTCTTTCTGTGACATGATTTCTTTCAGTTATGTTAAGGGAAAAGGATGGCAAAATCATTTTAAGACCTATTGTATTCCCGAAGACCTGGTTCCGCGCATATTATCTCCAGCATATTTTCATCACTACAACTCACAGAACCCCTCAGTACCCACTACTGTAGGAATGTCACCCACGGTGACACAGTATAAGGAAGCAAACGGAAAGCAGAATGAGGAAAGACTGAAAGAGAAAGAAGGAGACCAATTGGTTCTGGGTTTAGGTCCCGTGCAGAGTTCTTTTTGGAGACTCTCGAGACTTGTTCCCATTGAAGGTTTTAGGAGGAAGTTCTATAATAAAGGAAGGACTATTGATCCAATTGCAACCTCTATAGTTACTGATTCTGCTTCAACATCAGCTATTGAGGATATAGTTACTGCTCCACAATCACTTGAAATCGAAGAGGGTTCTGATGGGATTTCTCTCCGGCCGTTACCTGAAAAAAATGAAGAGATTTCTGGAGGATTCAAAAATGAAAAAGTATCTGGACATTGTGGCGCTAGCAGTGGGGACAAGAAGACATGGCGGAGCATACCTTCCTTACCTTCGTATGTACCATTTGGACAAGTATGTTCGTCAGTTTATTAATTCTTCCCGCTGCTGTTTGGTAATATTATACAATATGATAACTCATCTTTACAATTGTGGTGTCAATCAACTTTGCATCCACTTATATTCTGTTGATCTAATTATACTTTCCCAGTATTGAAATATATATATTATTACAGTCTTATGAAGCTTGCAACCCAGATAGTCATAGTATTTGTTTTCTTATTCAGTTTGTTGTTTGTCGAACAGCTTTATCTCTTGGGCAATTTATCTGTGGAATCACTATCTGGTTCAGAATACTCAAAATTGACATCGGTGAGAGATTACTTATTCGTTTCTTCTTATATTATCACTTTCGTCAGTCATCATCCTGGCTACATGACTGCAGAATATACTGGTCCTTGCCGTAATGTGATTTACAGAGTTGGTGTAATCTTCTGATATTTTTGGATTGTAACGTTCAGGTTAGATCTGTAATTGCTGAGGTAAAAGAGCGGTTTCAATCACATTCAATGAAGTCATACAGATCCCGGTTTCAAAAGTAATATATTTGTTATTTTATTATTTATTTTTTGCCTTTTCCCTTTGGCAGTTGTTCTCGTACAAACTAGTGTTATAAGCAAGTTTATGAGGATTGGCAGTTTTGCAAGCCAAAAATGTTCAACACTTTTTGTTATATTGTAACTTATTGAGTGCTCCTTTGTGATTTATTGAGGAACATTTTTTTACTTTCCATTTTGAAACTCTGAATACATTCATCTGTTTCATTCTTTGGCATCAATTCAGCATGTTGAACTGAAATATTATATAGTTTTCTTTTATAACTTCATCATTACTCTTATTGGCTCTAGTTATGCCTGACAGAATCTACGAACTCTGCATGAATGATAATGCATTCTCATTCCTGGGGAGGGAGAAAGAGCTGCAATTCCCACAATTGCAAAAGTGGATAGGAATTTCAGTTTCTGGTACGGTTGAACTTGGACATATTGTTGACTCTCCAGTTATTCGAGCTGCTACTACTCTGGTTCCCCTTGGGTGGGCTGGTATTCCCTCTGACAAAAATGGAGAACCCCTCAAAGTAGACATTTCTGGCATTGGATTACATCTATGTACATTGATTCAAGCTCGAGTGAATGGTAAATGGTATTTTTCTTGACCAGTTAAATTGACTAGTGGGCATGTTTATTCTCTCTTTGATAAATTTATCCGTACGTCTCTAAAATTTATATAGTTCTTGATTTTTCGACCAGTTTACTGTTTAAACCTGCTAATCCGAGGTTGTACTTCTGCCAGGTGCTCGACTACTTTGGAATCCTTTCCTTCTCCACCGGCATATTCTGAACTGCAACCAGAAATGCAAAAGATGCGCATACTGGTTGGAGCTCCATTTAGACGACAACCAAAACATCAAATATCCGAGGATGGGTTAATGCCCGCGTTTCTGTCTATTGATCCAAGCTCGGTTGACCTGAAACTAAACCAAGTCAAATCTCCAGAAATGGAGGACAGAAAAGGCATCATTCCTGACGGTCTGGGTGATTTTGTTGTATTTTGCAGGACCGATTTTTCAACTGTCGTCAAAGAGGTTCACGTAAGAACTCGAAGGGTACAATTAATCGGCCTCGAGGTATACTGGGTATGTTGATGTTGATGATGTTTTAATACTTATAAAAGAATGAGGATTGTGTTTCTTTCATGCAGGGTGCTGGTAAAACCTCTCTTCTCAAGGCAATTTTGAGTCGGGGAAAAAGTAGTGGTCTCGAGATGCTTCCAATGGATACTGATTTACAAGAAGGTATCTATGGCGGTTTGTTCTATTCAGATTACGCAGGAGTAAATTTGCAGGTAGGTTTATGATTTTCTCAAACAATGCTACCCACTTGTATCGGTTTTCCTTCTCTCGTGAAACGGTCTCACATTCATTGTATTTTGTCTCTGAATGCAGAATCTGAATTCGGAGGCATCCCGTTTTCGTGACGAGCTGTGGAAGGGAATCCGCGACCTGAGCCAGAAAATCGACCTAGTGGTCCTCGTGCACAACCTGTCCCACCGAATACCACGCACCGCCGCCACATCCTCACAAAACCCACCGCCCCCCGCTCTCTCGCTGCTCCTAGACGAGGCCAAGTCCCTCGGCATCCCGTGGGTCCT